TTTATTTATTGACAAGATCTCAAGCTTGTCTGAGAACATCCATCTAGAATATACATTTGAAGTACTGAGGCCTGAGCAACAGGCCTCAAACCAAAGTTGGCCTCTATATGAACCCCTCCAACAAAACACCCTATGATAGTACCTGATCATTAGTAAAGTATTAGTAATTTGCTCATTAGCAAATACCTTAGTCAAAGTATAATCACTAGTGAAGATCAAATGTCCTATGAGACTATCCCCTTCTTTCCCATGTTCAGAGACAGGTTGTCAAGGCTGTAGGACCAATGTCTGCCAAAGCCAAACAGATAAAGTAACTCCCTTGGTTCCTCCTTGAGGCCTGGCCAGGTTTGGGGGGGAGTCTAATGGAGAATGAAGCCAGATATTCCGCATTTGAAATTGAAGTAAGCTTGTTTATTCAATAGTATGAAAAGCTGGACCCTCTTGCAGTGACTTTGGAGACCTCACGAGTGGATGCACTGTGCAGGACTTCCCAATGGCCGGGACAGGCTCTCCAAATCCTTGCTGCCACTGGGGCTCCCCAGCGACAGTGGATCTGGATGATGGTAATTAGGGCAACTGGTGATGTATCTTATTTAATCACTATGGTTAACCACATATAGTAATACTTATTTTCTTCATACTGTACTATTTTGTCTTTTATTTTACTGCTTTGCACTATATTATCTTGTTTTATCCTTATTATTTTCTTATTATTTTTACCGTAGTAAAGATAAGCTCAGTTCTTCAACTTGGTGTCTGTGTCCATTGTGCTGACCCCATCTATTGGCAAAATATTTCAAAAGCATATTTGTACATCAAAGGCAGGTCCAGTAATAACACTTTGTTACCAAGATTACAAGTTAACATCTTGATTTGGTTAGTCATCAAGATTCAGATTTACAGAAGAGTCCTTGGTATTTACATTCAATAGGACCTCCGGTTAATAAGGGTGAAGGAAGGTTTGTCTCACCTAAAGTTCCTGTTTGTGAGAACCAAACCCAAAGAATGTGACTTACCTAAGCTATGATTCACAAGGTGATCAAATCTTTGTAGCCCAAACTGAATTTTTTTGTTGCTCCATAGTGCAGATCCACCAGCCACCATCTGACCTGCTTTGTCACATTAAAACTGCTCCTGCTTCCCCTGTATCTGCATGTGCTTATATCATACTATTGAACTCCTATGACTTGTCCTGTACTACTCAATGTAGTGGTCTCTGCATCCAGTTTGAAGTTGCCATTTTTACTCCATTTCAGGTCTTTGGTAATCCAGAATTACTTTTCTGCAATGCTGCCCTCACTCCATCATGTATTAAGTAAGGTTGAGGCCCACCTCTGCAAAAGTCTGGTTAAGGTTCATGAGACACCTTTCTCTAGACCTCAGAAGAAAATACTGCTACCATTTTCCTAGTGAATCACCCTCCTGCTCCAGCATGCCAATCTGCTTCTGTAATGATACCAGCCACTATCAGACTACCCCATAGCCAATGGAAGGAAACAACCCTCTAGCCTCCACCACTAGTCCAACAACCCGCTTGCCCTACAACCCTCAGGGCACCACAGTATTCCTCAGCCTCGATGCCCTGTGGGATTTCAAAGGGGCTCCAAACACTTACAGTCAGGACCGTGCCATGGTCCACAGGAAGGTACGTACCAAAGCTGACCTGGTTCCAACTCATCCCGGCTAGGTCCACAACCTCAGTCCCTTTGGGTGAAGGATTCTGCTCAGAAAGCAGTTGCTACAAGCTCCCGTAACAGTATTATTTGCTCTTACATCTCACAGAACAGGGATATACAGGCACACATGAGAGAGTGGCTTGCACGAGCTTTATGCAAAGGCTCTGAAGGTAATAAGCAAGAAAAACAAAGTGGCTTTTGGAGACAGATATTTTACACTACAGGTACTACTGCTGGCCACTTGCAACAAGCTGTTTTTACCACATAGTTTTACCTTTATGTGGCTTTTTAATACTAATTTATTGACTCATTCTGCCTCTGGCCTATCTTCTCCCACTGCTCTGCGCAGTCTTGTCCCACCTGCCTTGGTCCAACTTCGAGCCAGCCTGGTTCCTGCCCATCTGATCATTGCCTTCCAACAAAGACAAGCCAAGACACTTTGCCAAACAGCTTTTATTCACAGCCCAACACTGAAGCAAGATAAATTTTCAAAAAAATTCCAGTAAAGGCACTGACTGTGTAATAGGGCTCACTGTGAAGTAGGAGAGTCTGGAAGTGGCACCTGACCTGGCATTTCCTATTCTCCCTTGGAGCAGCAGTTGAACCATAGAGTCACTCAGACTCACAAACACAGTAACAAGGTTATGACCCTTTACTACCAGTCAGCTGCAGGTGTATCATCACTCCCTGGCAGAGCAGGTCATCTAATCTGTGGCACTGGATTGGCCAAACAGTGCAGTACATGACTTGCTTCAAATGGCAGAAATGCACACCTGAGCCTGGGTGATCACCTCCGACACCACCCTGTGCTCGCTGAACCATCCATACACGCTGGCAACTCGGGTTTAGAGTCAAATTGTCAAGTAAGTTGATTATAGCCACCGTGCTTAAAAGAAATACCCCTACTCTGTGCTGCAATGGAAGCAAATAGCCTAAAGGAGCTGCCAGTATTAGTAATTTCCTCATATAGCTCCTTATATCCCACATTTGCAATTTACCAACTTTGCTCATCTCCTGGGCAGTTAACGTTCTGCACTTGCACTTCTGTTCAAACCAGTTTAGCTGCTCAGATGTCCTCAATGCCAACTCGGGGAACTGAGATGAGGTCCAGAACTCTCCTCAAATTAACTTAACCAGATAATATTAAAAACAAAAAACCACACACACCAAGGGAGTCATGGAATGTGCATTCCCAAAGGATCACAGGAATTCAGCTACATTGCTAATGCTAACACCAAGATTAGGGAGAATGTTTTTTTTGAGTCAATCAGCTCTGAATAAGGGCAACTGATGCTCAAAAAAGTAGGCAGGACACAGATATGACCATTTCTACTAGTTAGGGGTAACTTGCTACTTTTGACTAGCCTTGGGTAGACAGCTACGATGGAGTAACAGGGAACTGTAGGGAATAAATATTCAAGATATTCTAATTCATGTACAGCACATATGCACCAGCCTGAACAAAGTAGTCAAGTTTCAGCCTATACTGAGGAGTGACCTACTTCAATTATCTCCTCTTGGGAACATGAGATTCAGAATATGACCACAAGCCAGGCACACTGCAACTCAATCATAACTTGAGTTCATTTGGTCATGAAGACAAGCCTTTAAGCACTTACGTCCAATTTAAATCATAAGTTATATATACAGTTTAATTGAAGCACTTCCATGTTTAATTTAAGCAAAATAGGTTTTATCAGAAAGCTACACAAACCCAGAAAGCTTTGTTTTTCAAAACCATACTTTATTTTTAAAGGCTGAGAAGTATTCAGAACTATATTTCTTAAGCAAAAAGATTCACATTTCATTCTGCAGGGTCATTAGTATGAGAAAAAACATTTGGGGATTTATTTTTTGCAACTGTTGTTGAGTTCCTATACCAATCCAGCTTTATTTTAAAATGGTAACATCAGTTATGGCTTAAGATACAGGATTACAAAAGAGTAACACAAATGTTGAGACTGAAATGGATAACAGGTAGCTATGGTCATTTTTTCACAGAAAGATAATGTTTTAGCTAAGACAAACAGAAGCAACAACTGTCTTTATTGGTAGACAAATCAACTGAACATCATGAGCACAGACACTGCTTCAAGGATACCCATGCTGCTAATCCACAAGCGTTTAGAAGAATGTTCTGTCTGCTCCAATTACTTCACCCTCTCCTCCGTATCACAAGCCTCAAAAACATGGAAGTACGAAACCATGACAACAGCATTTTGTTTTTTTAAAGAAAAGGATACAAGAAAAGACGGAAGACTACAGTATGTGGTGAAGGAAGAGTCATCACCTCTAAACAGACAGCAGGACTTTGGCCAAGAAATTTTAATCAGTAAGCATGTAAGGACTCAAACCAACTCAGAACCCAGAGCTGCAATTTTATTGGGTATTCTCCCCTTCACTGATTTGTAACTCTGCATTTACATGTTCTGGATGGCTTGCATTCAGTGGGACAGAGGTAGTGATGGGAACAAGGTTCCTTCCCTAAAGTTTCCAAATAGATGAAACCTGGTAAGCATGGCCCCAAGGAAGGGCGAGTGCAACCAGTGGAGGACCTGCCAACTGGGAAATGACAAGAGCACAAGCACAGACAGTAAGCTGCTCTTCCCTACCCAGACTGATAAATAAAATGTTACGTAAAGGTCCTGGACAAGAATTGAGCAAGTAACAAAATCTCTGTGGCCTCTGCAATATGTACTTCATGCCAGGTTGTGCAAAGGATACGACTGTACCTTTCCTACGCAATTGTGGTGACCAAAATACTACATTATTTGCAGTACTGCCGGAAGTTCCAGTGTGTAACTAGCTAGCATGGTTATACTGATAATTGTAATAGCTACATAAATTCAGTCACCCATTTAAAAAACAAAACAAAACAAAACCCAGAAAAACATAAGGACTTGTATTTGCAGACAATTCATTTATCCAGTTTATTCTTCAGACTTGTCCCACCTTTGCTATTTGTGACTAGGCCAACTTTTCTGTCCTAAGGGGATTAAGACAAGACTTCAACTGTTAAAGTTTTTCCTCTTTGCTCACTGAGAGTAATTAAAAAAAAAACCAAAGCAACATAACAACAGGTTTTTATCTTACACTCCTGGAATATTACAATTTCTTACAGGAGTGTTCATTCAAAAGAAACTGCCTGTAATATGTACAATAAAAGGTTGCAACCCTTGGGTAAGGAGGGATGGTTAAACCTAGGTCATCTGGTTACAATTTGAGTGCTATAAACCAATCATTGAATAAAGTCAAAGCTTGGGGCTAGAGAGCAGTTTTCCTCAGAACACCCCATTTCTCTTCTTAAGAAGATCAGAGGTACACTGGTTTGTTTTATTGCAACACTGGTAAGCCAAATCCAATCCTTCCCATTCAGATATGATTTTTAGGAACCAGGGATTTTATGGTTTACTGCCCAATTTGGCAGACAATTTACTGATGAGATTCATGACCTTGGGATTGTTCTGGTACTTGGACATATTTGCTGGGTTCTGGACAACATCTTGGAATGCAGCCATGACTTCTGGATCCTGCAGGACAAAAAGCAAAAAATGAGGGCATTTATAAAACAAGTCTACAAAAGTTAGTGGTTATGTGGTTCCAATACGAATCTAGTCTTGCTCAGCTTTTCAGGTGACAAGACTAGAGTTTTGGGCAAGAAGTCTCTACAGACAACCCAATGATACAGTGCGTGCTGTTAACACTCGGTCAGTAAGCACCAGAGTCATTACAGAACTTGTTAAAGTAAGAGCGCAATGTGCTAGAAGGGGGATAAGGTAACGAGTTATTTTTCCCCAGAACAGAAACCACCCAACACAGCCATACCTCCTGCATTACTTCTATTCAGGCATCTTCAAATCAATTTTGAAGGAGGCAGGAGCTCTGTGTATACAGCAGGCATGATAGGGTAACCCTCCTCTGAGTAACAGCTGCTCCTTTAGCCCTTTTACCCCTTCTTATTCTAGCAGAAGAAACTTCAATCTGCTGGACTGTGAGCAGGTAATACAGTCATGTTTGGCTTTTAAAAATGCATCTACTTCTCAGTCACTCCCCACCTCCTCTGAGAAATCACAACTGGAAGAGAACCTTGTTATTTCTCATCACACTACTGTTGCATTTGATAAATACATTCACATATAAAGTCAGTTGTCAAAAAATAACTTCATCTTCTCTATTTAGTATGAGAAGCATTAATACTTTTTTCTGTACTTCTAGTATACCTTTGGCCTCCATTGAACTAGAATTGGTTTTACTCATTTTACACGTGTATGTTTTGCACACTGTCCTTTAATAAATCTGTATAGACTGATTTTACATATCAGCCTGGAAGAATGTTTCCCTTATAAGGAACTTCTGCAAAGATGCAAATTTTCTTTAATGCAGCTGAAGTGCAAGCAGTTTATTATATCCAATACAAATCACGTGCATTAGCTGTACTTTCATCTGCTTTCTAGAACATTTAAGCAGTTTCACTGAAAGATACAATCTTCCCTAGACTTCTAGCCCTTCGCTACCACAGATGTATTCTGTGGAAACCATCAGAAACCACCTGGTGTCCTCAGAGCTGCCTGTCCTATAATAATACCATCCTTTATCTATTCTAGCATCAGAGACAGACAAAAGCTGTTTAACAAGTCTGATCCAAAATTGCATTTAGTAGGTGTGGACACCACTGAAATCACCCACATGGTACAGTCATGGTTTATACATGTTGAGAACCAAGAGTCAAGTCTTATCTTTTGTTAGAAGGATTTACAAGTGTTTTGTATCCCTCACAAAAGGAAATCTGCTATGAAGTCTATGAAAAATAGGATGCTGAAGTTCAGAAACCAGACACTAGATATGTTTTCTCTACTTTACAGGATTCCTACGCAAAGGAAAAAAGAAGAATTTAATGACTTCCAACTTTATGAATTTTCAATTTCAAAACATGGCATATGACTATAAATGTTGTGTCATGTTAAATCTGTGTTTTCACCTGTATATGAATCCAGAACAAAAAGCTGAGCAAGCTCAGTCACTGGTCTGTGTCAAAGCACACCTAAATGAATGTTAAATATCCAAATTTATGCTACATGTTTTATGGTCCTAGAAATTCACAGCAAGTAAATTATTCTGTACTTGCACAACTCCCTGGAAGCCCTCAACCTTAGACTGTTTATAAAAATGTTTAACACACCCAAGGTTTCACACTGATGAGCAATATTATCAGAGTAAAGTTTAAGACTGAGGATATCAACATTTCCATAGGGAAATATTTAGTATGTAAGGTGGAATGGGAACCACTATATAAAACAGCATTAGTGAAACATGCAGTTTTCTAATGCTCTAGTCTTTTTTTGCAGAAGGATGAAAAATAGTTCTAAGGAAAAAGTTATCACTATTCTTTTTTCCAACTTACACATTTTGGTGAAAGTCTAGGTCTAACATATGACTACCTGTCAAATAAGGAGTCCATAGATTCATCTAACACATCACTTGTTTTGAAGAGAACTCATATTTGACCCATGACGGCTCTCCAAAACGCAAATGTCATGCTGAGTCCAGAGAAAGCAGCTGCACATGCAAGACAGGACATACTATAGAACACTCCCGACAGCCAAAATAGTAAAATAAGAGAAACACACGCATACACACACACAAAACTTTCAGCCAATTCTTCTGGAGACTAAAAAGCTTAGGGGCAAATGAGCTAAGATAACATGCATTAGAAGTCATTGCAAAAGGTCACAACTACCACTGTTAAGAAGCTATGAAAAGAAATGCAATAAAATTTTGCCACTCTTTGAGTCTTTTGTGCGTATAAGACTAGTATCAGCCACAATTAAAAAAAAAAAGAAAATAAAGAAAAAAAGGAAATATCCTGAAGACAATAAATCTTTAGGTAATGGAACCAGAATCTTCACCAAGAAGGAAGTTTTTACACTAGTTTGCAGAGATTCTTGTCTTTATGCCAATCATACGCCAATGATGTGTAATAACTTGTATAAACATGTTCATAGGCAGCCATATCTGTTCTTTGGTTGCTTCTACAGATGACAAGCTGAAATTGACAGCGTAACTGGTTTAACCTAGCTCACGTTCAGGCACACACAATTGTAAGGTTTACTGAGATATTAACAGACTCAGGCATATTTCAACGTTAGATCCTTAAGAATAGTCTCAAAGATTATAGGTTATAGTCACTAAATCTAAACAGATTGAGAAGAAGGTCTTTACTCTCAGAATACTCCAGTTTCAGCAATAGCTCCTCACTATGAAAAGCCTCTAAATACTGTCAGTTAAAATAGTACCTTAAGACTAGCAATTTGGGAGAGACTTGCATGATTCAGTATCTTCAGACTTTCGTAACACCTCAGATAACCTACATAACAGCTGCCAGCTACCATCATCCATCAACATATTCCATAGCTGCACTAAGCAGAAGCCAAGCAGTAGAAATTACTGTCTTTTAAGACACTAGCTTACGGCCAATTAACAGAACATAGTCAGTTGGACATTTTAGGAAAAGGTGGCAGTGCAGACATAGGTGAAATGCTGAATATATCGTATCTGATGTAAAGTTTGTACACGGAAGTCAGCAAGATATTCAAGGCCTTTCTGACAGGTTCTGCATGTTAAAGCCTGCCTGCATTATCAGAAAACACAGTCAACATACATTCTTGCAACAGAGTCCTACAGAATGCTGGAATATATATAATCAGCATGCAATGGAGTCTTCTTAAAGGCACATGGTGAGTGCTTAACATTTAGCTGCACCTCAAAGCTGTTTTCAGCAACTCTAATATCAAACATTACAGCATAAATTAGCCAGGTAACGAATACAACTACAAGACACGGGCTTTTTTTTGGATGGTTTGCATGCAAGTCAACATTGCTGACTGTGACAGCCTAAGTAAAGCTGTGTTTCCAAACACCAGCAACCATTAAGGGAATCCACGAACTTTTGCATGGAAAGTGATGCCTTTTTTGTGATTTCATGGCATACTAAATAAGGCTCCTTTGTGATGCTTTTCTTTAGATGGGGATCATAGCTGTTCAATGAGCTGAGAACATGTAACTAGTTCAGCCACAGCAATCCAGAAAAAGTAACAAGACACTTCTATACTTCATCATATTAGTATGCAAATACAACTACATAGCTCAGATTTTTCCTAGCCTACCTGCCCCTAAAACTGATGTTGTTAGATATGTTCTATTTAATCTGTGGGAACACTTTTCTTGTGTAAAACTAGTTATGACATTGAGCAACTAATTAAGCCCACTGGGGAAGTAAGCTTTCTGAACATGAATTTAGAAAATGCCAGATGCAGAACTACTCTGATACTACTTTGCTTCTGGCAAAAACCAAACACTTAATCCCCTAAGAGAAAGGCAATTCTCATCTTCATATTATTGTAATATATTTTGTTGCAACAATATTAACAATAATGTTTTATTTGTGCATAATTATCTTACCACAATGTGTGTGCATTCAAAAAACGGAGCAAGTGAATTATACTGTGTGGAAACTAACAATTCAAGATTAATAACTCTATATAGCACAGTTTTGCCTATCATAAGTGAGTATGGGGCAGGAGGGAGGTATCTTTAATTAAGCTCCCATCAGTTTAAAAGATAGCTAACATTTATTCCAGACAGGCTGGTGCCACACACACAAGGATTTCACAACACAAATAAGAAAGCATCCCACTGCTATCCAGAAGGTCACACCTTTCTTCCTTCCCTTAGCTCACAGGCACTGTTCTTCCCTTGTTCAGCCTTGATTTTAACAAATACTCACCTGCACGGCCACAAGGACTTCTGGATCACTGAGAATCTCATTGAGACCTGGCATACCTCCAGGCGCAGCCCAAGGAAATCCACCTGAAAACGCAAGACCAGAAGAATGTATGATGAAAAACACATAATTCATCTATACAGGAGGCTCACTGAGAGAGACTAAGATGTACTTGCTTTGCCACACCCCTAAAGCCATGTCTTCTACAAGGCTAGAGCTGATCCACTGAATGGAAAGCAGGGTCTTCACCTTCTCTTTCTGTGAAGACCTACATCTTATTTCATCCATGTTTTTAACCCTATTGAATAGAAGGCTCGTAACAAGTGTCAGGTTCTAGCACCTTGTACACAGATGCAGTTATTTTTTTGGTTAACTTAAATCATGTTGGTCTCAAGCCCAGGAATGTCAGGAGTTTGAATGCCTGAGGTGAACAATTCAGAGCAAAAGCAGACCATCAGTAGTATGTCCCAGGCACATCCCACATTTGGTGGGAAGTTTAGGTTTGAAAAAATTATACCAAAGAAAAAAGAAAATCCCTGAAGCACACTGCTTGAAGCTCTGTTTTTGAATCCTCAAATTAGCAGCTACCCCAGCTGTGCTGAGCAGGGTAGATATGGTTGCTATTTCATTCCCCTGAGAAGCTGATCCAATTGAAGCATGCACACAGCCTACCTCAACTATATTTCAACCTTCAAGAGCATTAATACTTAGTCTTGTTTCTTTCCAATCTATTGTACCCAAAAATAAAGGCCAATTTTCATCAACTGTTCAAGGACAGCTTTTCTGTATGGTAAACTGCTCTGCCTCTTTTCAGAAACTACTCTGTTCAACAATAGCTTGCAACCAGTGCAGATTTCCTTAACATTCAATAAAAATTTTCAGCTTTAAAACTATTAATAGTTAAATAGAATGGGTCCAAGGTACCCTGGGTAATTTAGAAAACATTTTTATACTGTTTTTTCAGCACATATTAAGCAAACACTGCATCTTTGTTTTCTCAGACCTAAATCCTTTCATTCTGTTATCCATCATTATTGATTGCTGTCTTCCCTCTAATTGCTACCCAGCATCAATCCTCTTTAAGAATCCCATCCCTCTTCCCACTAGTGCTTAAAGAGTTATTTGTAGACAAGTTCTAAACTTCATAAAATGTTTTTCTCTCTGTCTTGAGAAAAAATGCTATAAAAACTGTGTTTCCATGTAGAGTATTATAACCAACAGCAACTACCTCAAGTATTGATACTTAAAATACCTGGGAAGCCACCAAACTGAGCTCCTCCTGCCTGTCGCCTTGCTTCTTCCTCCTGCAGATGAAAGCACATCATCATCATTCCACACAAAGCAATGGAACTGCAGCCTGTTTTCTACCGCTTAACTGGTTTTAGGAGAAAAAAAAATACTGAGACTGTTTCAGGCAGGTAGGCTATCAAAGTAAACAAAGCACTTCACTACCTACAAAACAACTGACAAGAAACAGCAGTCTACTCTTACTTTAGCATGTTTTTGCAGGTAAGTTACGCAGAGTATGTTTTTACTGAATATGAACAGTATTATTTGTTTTTGCTCCTCAACTTGCATTTTTAGAACTAACTCCCACCCCCAACACATTAAAATACACCAGTAAAGCATGAAGAAGCAGCAAGCAAACTTTGTAAGGAAGTGAGGAAGAGAAGCAAACTCTTATCCTGAATTTAAAACCTCCCACTTCAGGAGACCTAAGTACTATTCTGGTACAGTCATACAATAACTGAATTCTTGTACAGGATTAGTAGACATTCCAGAGCCTATTTTTCTCATAAGCAACAAAAGCAGATGCAGTACAATGCCCTCTTCTGCAGAATCCATTATTAGTCAAGTAAACAAGACAGAAATAAACTCTCTGAAATTTAATTCTAAGACTAAAAATGAAAATAGTTCTTCTCTGCAATTCATTTTAGAATCATACACTCATAGAATGGCTTGGGTTGGAAGGGACCTTAGAGATCATCTAGTTCCAACCCCCCTGCCATGGGCAGGGACACCCTCCACTAGACCAGGTTGCTCAAAGCCTCATCCAGCCTGGCCTTGAACACCCCCAGGCATGGGGCATCCACAGGTTCCCCAGGCAACCTGTTCCGGTGCCTCACCACCCTCACAGTAAAGAATTTCTTCCTAATATCTAGTCTAAATCTGCCCTCTTCCAATTTAAATCCATTACCCTTCGTCCTGTTATTGCATGCCCTTTAAAAAAGTCCCTCCCCATCTCTCCTGTAGGCCCCCTTCAGGTACTGGAAGTCCCCTATAAGGTCATCCTGGAGCCTTCTCTTCTCCAGGCATTTTAACCAAAATAACTACGACACTCTCCAAATTATTAAGAAATATTAAAACCTAAGTATTCACCCTTTGTGCTCTCTCATGCTCCTCCCGTGCCTTCTTCACTCTTTCTTTTTCTTTCCATTCTTTCCTTGATTTCCTTTTCTTCACGCTTCCGCTCGTATTTTCGGCGATGTTCTGCAATTTTCTGAGCCTGTTACAATAGAATATCAAGATTTAATATAAATTTCTAGCATACCACACAATGTATTTCAATACAAAATACCAGCTCTTAAAAATAAGTTTGACTTCACATCCTAAAAACCCCTTCATCTTAGGTGTCATTTGCTGTCCCTTTCTACAGCAATCAGTTATTCATGTCTACTTGGCCCTAACTGGATTCACCAGAACATGCACCCTAGTACACTTTTTTGCTGTAGAGCTCTGGGACTTGTACCATAGTTAGAACTTAAAACATGTTCCACCTCCCTTCATGCTTTTATGCTGAAATATTGATTTCTCCAGGGCTAAAACCAGCAACTGCCCTGGTAAAGGGAATTTTCACTGGCACAACATCATGAATTATAATTCCCCCTGCACACACATACTTTTTAGTTACTTATTGCTGTTCCATATGCCTCTGCAGCATATACAGCTAGACATAAGCAGACCAAAATTGTGAACCAAACCAAAAAAGGGCTGGTGGGGATAAAGTTTGCTTTGTATTATTAGCTTTTACTCACATCTATCAAATCTACAGGCCCAGCATAAAAGAGTAGCTGGCAATAAACTCCCCGAGGGTCTTTACTCAGAGCTCATTATAACAATAAAACACTATCTGTAGCACTGCTTTCCTGAAGTCAGAATGTATCCTTACGTAGTATTGCAAAAAATGGTTCATGATTTCACAAACTGTTATATGACCGTCACCCTGTAACTAAAAAACATACCAAAAACAATGTTCAAGAAAATATGTAACTACTACCACAATGAATACTCTTCTATTCTTTCAGAATATTCCTTAAACAAAGAAATGATGTGAAGCTTTGATACAATTTATATTAGCTAGGAGATATTCGTTCCATACCACATCACTCCTGAAGTACATCTGCCAGAGAAAGCACGCTGCAGGAAGGAGGACTGACTCACATTGAATGCAGTATGTGCTATAATAACCTGATGTCATGGCCATTCAATATTTCCTTAAGAGAGAGGCAAGTGTTTTGGTGGGGGTTTTTTTGTTCTTTTTTTTTTTTTTTTAAATGAAACAAAGAGTTTCCAAAGTTTTTATTTTCATTGTTTCTAAGTATTTCTCAAAATGAACGAAGCATTTTTAGAATCTGATTCAGAATCTCAGCTGAAAGCACTACAAAGTAAAAAGTGCTGGGAAAGCTGGAAGTGAATAAATTAGGTGCATGTATCACTTTCACTTAAAGATAAGAAAATCACCCATTAAAAGATCATACATTTTTCCTTGAGCTGCATACACAAATTCTCATACAGTTGGCAACTATGTTTGTTTTTTTTTTTTTTTTTTTAATCACAGACATACTCTGCTGTTCCTGTGCATGGGCAGATTAACTGGGAAAAAAAGGTTCCCCCTCAGCCAAACAATAAGTATACCTCTGTATAAGTCTTATAAAAAAAGTTGAGACCTAAGACCTAATTACATAGACAACATTCTCCAACACAGAAGACTAACAGGTTGTAAGATGACTTCCATTGTTGTTTTGCTGGAGACAGTGGCTTCTACAAGACATGGCAGGAAAACTGAAAGCTGAAGTTACTAGACTCAGGAATGTTTATGCATGTGGTGGGTTAAGCTTCGCTGGCTGCCAGATGCTCACTAAGTCACTCTCTCAGTCCCCCTCCTCAACAGGACAGGGAGAGAAAATAAGATGGAGAAGCTCCTGGCTTCAGATAAAGACAGGCAGATCACTCATCCACAACCATCATGGGCAAAACAGACTCAACATTGGGAAGATTAATTTAATTTCTTGCCGATTAAAAATAGAGTAGGATGATGAGAAACTAGAACCACCTTCCCCGTATTTCTCTTCTTCTTAAAGCTCAACTTCACTCCTCCCTGCTCTTCTACCTACTCCCCCCGCCCCAAAAGGTGCAGAGGCATGGGGGCTGTGGTCAGTTCCTAACACTGCACCTCTGCCGCTCCTTCCTCCTCACACTGTCTTCCTGCGCCAGCGTGTGGTCCCCCCTACAGGATACAGTCCTTCACAAACTGCTCCAATGTGGGTCCTCACCACAGGCTGCAGTTCTTTAAGAACTGCTCCAGCATGGGTCCTTCTCATATGGTGTGGTCCTTAAGCAACAGACTATCCAAGCATGGGTCCCCCACGGGCTGCACCTCCTCCCAGAACACCAGCTTTTGCATGGGCTCCTCTCTGCAGGCCACAGTTTCTGGCCAGGAGCCTGCTCCATTGTGGACAGTCCATGGGCTACAGCTTCCTTCAGGGCACATCCACTTGCTCTGGCATTGGGTCCTCCATGGGCTCCAGGAGGACAACCTGCTTACCCATGGTCTTCTCCATGACCTGCAGAGGAATCTCTGCTCCCGTGCCTGGCAGACCTCCTTCCCTTCCTTCTTCACTGACCTTGCTGTCTGCAGGGTTGCTCATCTCAAATTTCTTTCTTTACTCCCATCTCTCTCACAGCTGTTACACAGCATTTTTTAACCCTTTCTTAAACACACTGGTGTCACTGACTAGCTCAGCTTTGGCCAGCTGTGGGTCTGTTTTGGAGCCAGCTGGAATTGGCTCTCTGACATAGGGGCAGCCCTGTCTCTCCTTCCAAGAGGCCAGCCCTGCAGTCTCCATCTCCCTCCAACCTTACCACTTAAACACAATGCAATGCGACAGCTACAATCTGGGGTCTGTCAACCATGTTAAAGGAATACACGAGACAGATGAAAACAGTCTTACGTGTTTTACACAAAAGTTCTTCCTCAGAAGAATGCCGGGGTCGATCACTTGAGAAAAGCCAAGTATCAGTCTTACAGAGATTATGCTGCCCTCATGGGGCAGACTAATGAAAGTGCAAATCACAGCAAAGAATGCTTCCCTTGTAAAACATGTTTAGGATGAAGCTTTGATCAATTCAGAAACATTCTGAAAAAAATCCATTATCAGTGTTTTCCTGCTCTTCTGAATGTTTTAGTCTAGATTCTAAAATGCCTGACAAACTTCAACTAAAGATTATTCTGTTAGGATTTTTTAAAAAGGAAGATATTATTTCATAGTTTGGTTACACGACCAGCTGCAGAGACTCAATTTCTCTACACACAGCCACAAACAGCTGTGATTGAAGGCAGAGGTATTTACAAACTCAAGCTAGAAGTGTCAGATGACACTAGAAAACATTCCTACAAGACAATGCATATTGGAAGAATGTTAAGGCAGCAATGTCACTCAAATAGAGGAGGAACTCCCATTATACCTCCCCACTTACTCTTGGTTGCACCTCCTTCAGCATGGCACTAGCTTCTTCATCATAATCCAGTTTACAAGCTAATGCAAGATCACGAGCAGCTTCCTCCCAGTGACCCAGAAGTCTGGAATTCAGAAGACACCAACATTCATAAGGAAAAAGCAAACTGAACTCTTACAATTCTTTAAAATATTTACAACCATGCAACATTCAGGATTTCTACCTGCAGCTATATGGACTTACAGAAGTTTAAATTTTAAGAATCATGGTGTTTTCTGTAACCCAAACACTACGATGCCATTAGAGGATACTTGCTTACCTCATATCCTTATAATAACTTGTAAGTAAAAATAAGGAAAAAAATGTCTAAATCAGCTACTGTCATTGTTTGCTATAAAAATGAGGAGTCCAAGAGGGGAAGGTACCCTACCTAAACATGTGAAGCACACTAATAAAAATCCTCTGCACCACTAGGCACTTGTTCAGCGTAAAACTGCATGTTCAGTGTTTTGTACCTACTATACCACTACTACCTCAAGCTTAAGCAGACCCTCTTTACTCAGCACTCAAACATCCTAGCTAACTGGATGCACCATGTCTTGGTTGAACAGGTCATACAAGCTACTGTGTGCACTTCTTTACTATTCATTTACACAAATTCTTGACAGTAAAAACTGTAAGCAAATGGTGGTATTGCTAAAGCGTGAAAGCACTTCTGCTTACAGACAGTGGTGTTAATCCAAACTATGCTCCAGTCTTCTCATTCTTAGCCTCCATGCCATTTATTAAAACTGTAGACATTAACAAACTACTCACTCAACACTGTTTAAAATGCCTTTTTTTTTTGGCAAGTTCTATTAGCATTTACTCCTCACACTTTTATACAGACCATATGAAATACAATTTTTTGTCTGATTTATTGTAACTAAAAAAAAAGTTTAACTACAATTGGGGGAGATGCACACTGGCCTAATGCCATTTTAAATAATTACCCTGTTTGCTTAGTACCACTCTTCAATTGCAACAAATGCTTCCCTTAATAACTAGGCGGTTTAATTTAATATGGAAAAGTGCTCTAGGATCTAATGGAAAAAGGGCAGCAGAGAAATGCTGAAGAATTACAGCAAATAAAAACTGAACTAAGTGAAAGCAAAAGACCTCCAAACAAATAAAACCCACCAAGTGATTAGAAAATGCTATTCAAAACAGCAATAAGCCACTACAAGATATATGGAAAAAAAGAAGCGATATAAAGACAGTGCCAGAAGGACTACTTATAAATTGCCATCACCATAATAATCACCATCATCCTTTCTTTCCCATAAGCCATACACTCAGCACAATGGTTTCTTGGCTACTGCTCCCAGGTACAAGACAGACAGTTCAGAGACATAGAGAAGGAGAGAATGCATAAACAAAACTGTTCCCCCAAGCAAAGAGAATACCAACTACAGGTGCAGTTCATTACCTATGCGCTTTCCCCCTCCATTTGTAGGTCTGTGCCGAGTCAGGATTAATCTTGATGGCTCTGTCACAATCTCTAATGGCAGCATTCGGCTTCTGTAGTTTCACAAAAACACTGTGGGAACAAGAACATTTATTGTACATATTGAAATACCAAGTTACTAACTAAAGCTGGAAATAATTCTGGATGACTAACAGGCAAGCTAGTGAAATAATACATTTGAAGAGCTGAGTTCAAAAAGATTTTGTAGTGATAATGAAGTCACTGAAATTTAGTTGCCTCCCCCGCCATTGTACTCGAATCATTAGCAAGAAGTGAAAGCATTCATTGTTCAGATTCAAGCCCTGCCAGCAATAACTTTAGTGCACAAGGAAAGGAGACATAAATGCAAAGGACAGTTCAATTCCATGGTGTTTGGAGTCTATAGCCAGTGACAACTAGCAATTTGAACAAAACAATAGTATTATGCATACCATATTACATAGTCTTTAAAACAGTAAGACAAAGAAAAGCATGAGTTATCATACAGGCTACAAGGATCAATGGTTAGAATAATCAGAAACTATAAATGGAGACAGGAGATGAGTCACCAAAATTCAGAGGCAAAACAAAACACAAACCCAGAAAGTAGCCCAAATCCTTTAAGTGAAATAACTGCAAATAACAAGCATATCAGATTAACTAGGTAGGGCAGTACTTTAGGAGGTCCAGGCATTTCAAATTAAAATCTCTGAAAGAAACACTAAAAAGCATTCCTGAATTTACAAAAGTATTTGATATTGAGGATACTCCAAGTCTGAACTTCTGCCCTTTTACACCTACTTGAAAACAATTTATCAGCAATTAAGAGTGCTGTAAGTAACTTCATCATTAAGGCTTGTTATAAAGTAAGCACACAGTCACCTATTCTTTTCTAGAAACAAACAGGCGGACAATGAGTCAGGAAACCACCTCAATCACCAATGAGAGATATTCCAAAGCTGCTGGCTGCACAAACACCCTAGTCTCCGGAACACACAACCCCCAGAACCAAAACCCAAGTCCACCAGAGATGGGGATTACTCACAGCACTTGATCAGCACTGCTGTTACACTGCAGGTTTTACAATATCATAATACATCGTTTGCTTATTTCTACAACAGACCAAGCTGACATAGCTTTTAAACTTCTCCTAACACTCTTTATTTTTTATTGTTAATCCCAGTCCTGAGAAGAGAAGGAACTCTAAGAGGTTTTAAAAATACTACTGTGATGACAACAACAGTGTATTAAGGTACACAAGTTGTGTTACATGCAAAAACTTTGATATGGAAAGGAAAAAAAGAGCAAGGTATGTAACAGTTAAAATGTACCAGAATGGAACAGAAAGGACACTAACTGATTGCATGGAAGTCATCAAAAGGTGAACGAAAGTCATCAAAAGGTGAACATTTATTTGAATTATACCTTGCTATGGAAGAGATGCACTAAACTATCAAATCATTCATGGTTAGTGGGATTTTGTGTAAAAGGATGAAAAAAATAAAACCAACTGCAGGAACTTCTGCTTCTGCAACCCATACTTGCGCAGCCTTCCTCAAGAATTAGGAAGATAAATATGTTTGTGCATTATGAAGTTAGGGCTACCACACATCAAATCTGACAACGTTCCCAATGCACTATCTGCAGTCTGGTAGATGTAATTAGCAGTAAGGTGGGTATTGAATGGGTTGAGAAATAGGTGTATCCTGTTCAAAGGCAGGACTGTTGAACAGCAGTATGTCTACTTCACAGTGAACGAATTCATTTAGCAGGTACAACAGGGAGAGAATTCACGTGATCCACAATTAGATCTGGATCTGAACAGGACAGGATTTCAATCATCATCTTAATCCCAGAATAAACTTCAGATTCTACAAGTGTTTGTTATCGAGCATTATTCTAATTCAACACACCAAAAGCCATATCACCACAATGCATGTTGGAACATCGTTCTGTTATCAAAACTCTATATGGCTGCTTCAGCAAATCTGGTTAATCACATGAAAGAGAAAACGCTAAGTGTACTCTTCCCTCATGCAGTTTAAATGTACGTAGATTGACATTATATTTAGGTTCCTTAAGGAAAAGAACAGAACAGGCAGACAGATAAAATCACTAGTTTGTAATGACTCACCTTGCCCTCTTGGCATACAAGATGGCCAAACAAGGATTCAGCTTGATAGCCTCTGTGAACAAGTCGACAGCCTTCTGAAGTTCACCTAAATATGAGTACCAGTAAAGTTTCAATCATTGTGCAATGCAATTACATCCAAATTGCCAAACCTGCCTTACAGGGTGTTATGTCCTTAAACACTTTTTAAACGGAATATTATAAACGAAGGAAAATCAATTTCTCCCTCTTGCTATGTTAGTGAAGTACAAACTCCCAAATTAATGCTGGAGGGGAAGAGAGACTTTTCCCAGTTAAATTTGTACATTTAACTTCGTACGCGATAAAACAGGAAGTCAACTCTTTATTACACAGCTTTTTACTGCATTAAGACAAACCATTATAGACACTAATCATACTATGCAGGGAAATACTATAACGAGCAATTTTTAATTAAGATGCTGCAGTACCTCATTCCCGCCACCCTGCCCAAAACTATAGCTACATTGGGAAGACAATACTTAAAGAAGCTTTCATGTTGTATGTAGTTTTGGGTACCCAACAGGAAGCAAGTTTTCTCTTCCTTGAAAGCATTCAAAATGGTCCAATATCTTTACTTCCTTTTTTTTCAAAGGAGAACCAAACTTCATGTCCTTGAATATGTACTAAAAACCAATTTATCACCTTCACTTAGAGCATTTATTGCTTCAATCTTCTTTTCATTAGCTTGATCCATCATCTCTTCAGTTACCTAAGAAAATAAAGAAAATGAAAAACACACACAAAACCCACAAGCTGTAGAGTCCAGGCCAGAACTACCATGCTAAGAAAGTGATAAAGAAGGGAGCTCCAATTTTCTGATTTTAGAATCTTGTTTTTAATTTGCATTGCAATCATAGTTAAAAAACCCCAAAACACCACAAAAACAACAAAACACAAAACTTTGGAGACATTCGCCACCATTATTTTTAGCTAGAAAATGCTCAAGAGAAGTTGAATAATGGCATGTTTCCACATATCTCGTTTTCATGGATGTTTTGATTTTGTGTGTGTGTGTGTGCACGTGTTTTCTGACCTGATTTTCCTCGCTGAACTTGGACTCTAACCTCGAGTAAGAAAGGACTGTGGTTTGAAGCCATTAAGTTTTCTATTTAGGAGGAAAAGAGCCAAAGCAACAGCTGTCTACCTCGCTAATATAGTACTCATCCCCCCTCAGCTGCTATCCTTGACTAAACTCAAAATCTCTCCCTATCTTTCTACTGTCATAGACACTGAAAATATTGCACCTACCTCCACGTTCTCATCTCCCATTTCTTGAGGGTCATCATTGTCTGGTTCAATCACTCCCTCATTGTCAATTTCTGAGGAAAAACAAAAGTCAAGACTAAGCTCCATTTACAAACAGAGAGAGGATTTCCAGTATCCTCTTCGAAGTGGTGAAATGTGATAATCTATTTTCCACACCTAAGTCGCTCTCTTCACTTTCTGGTTCAGGTGATTTAACTGGCTCCTCTGGCTGTTCCTCTGCTTTGCCCTGAAAGAGAAATGTATTTCTAAGCATACCTTATTTCTGACTGACATTCTGTTTCCGCTCTAATAAGTAACAATGCATCAGAAAATCCAAAATTAATCTTCAAAGCCTCGGGTTGCTCTACGGCTAAACTGTTTTAATTTTAAGACACAGATCTCCTTTTTCCTCCTCTCAGATTAAGTCTATCACACACACAAATAATTCAGAGCCCAAATTTTGACTCATTAACTTCTATCACTGGTAAAGCCTGCAATTCAGGTAGTGTAATTCAACAATCAAAACCAAACAACCCAGATAATACCCAATTCAGAACTGTGTTTGCAACGAATACTAACCAACCCTTCCAATCTTCCTGCCTTCCGTCACATGTTCTCTGTATCAAAAATTATCTAAATCTAATACTATTAAGCTAAGGTCCTCTAGCAGTGAATAAGCTGGTGTCAAAATATTGCTTCCCTTTGCCAAGGTCAGAGATTTTTGCCACTTACACATAGAATGTTTTTTCAAATGTTTTCCTATGAACTTCTAACTACATTACTGATTTCCTCTAAATCCCGTAACTTAGCACATCCTGCTTTATCACAGACATAAGCTGCTTGTCTTCACATCCAGTATCACAGACTACTCACTACACAAGCACAATCCCTCCATACAGTTCTAACTAGTCAGTAATTCCAGCATCCACAGCCTTGTTAAGTAATAAAAAAACCCCACCCCAACAAAAAACAACCTACTTTTTCCAAAATAATTTCAAGTTTGGGAAAATCCTGCTATAAATGTCTACAAGCAAAATTTAACTCCCTTAAAACAAATGAACAAAAACCAACGAAAAACTCTTCCACAATACTGCCTTATAAAGTTTATAGTTCAACTGTTCATTACTTATCATGCTTAATAATATTTCTTCTCATGCAAAGATTATAATTTAATCCACCAATGACTACAGAAGAGGTGTATAAACAGACAGCAAGAACATAAAAAACCGATATCAAGACTTTGGCATTTGCATTGCACAGAACATCATGCATTCAGGATTAGGGAAATGGAGCATGTTAACACTTGATATAAACTAGGAAGCCATCTGTAACAAGTCATCTACAACATGCAATGGGCAGGCTTCAGACTCTACTCTCCCAGTCACTCACCCTAGCATATTCACCTACCCTATTTGAATTAAAATTGACAGGAATTTTTTCCCTCCTGCTCAGTAATTTTTGCAGAGGGTCCAAATGTTAGTTTTCAATGACAAATTCTTCATCTCTCACCTTTCTTGTCTCCTCTGTGGATGCACTGGCTGGCGCAGGTGGTATTGTGCCTCCCATACTTTCCAGCAAAATAGAGAAGAGAACAAACAATAAGATTACCAAAATAGTGACGTGTTTTATTGATTCAAATCCTGCTGATAAACTCAGCTTTTTGTTGTGACACAAAACACGACGATCCAATTCAGTGCATAACCAGCAAATGAAAAGCACACATCCACCATGCTTTTCCCAGTGTAACGTCACACACACTGTGTCTGTTGGCGCTTTCACCTAGAACCCCACTGTCGCTTGTACTCATACACATCACCCACCCACCCTTCCCCACAAGGAAAAGCTGCCTCCTTGGCTGAAATAGATTTTCTCCTTAAAATGTAATTTATGCTTTAAGTCAAAACTAAATACTGTTTTTATAGATATTGCTAAAATTAGAATTTTTTTGGAACGGAGGGCGAATAAGTTAAGAGAACCCTAATGGCCTAAAATGCTTATGCAGTTAAAAAAATTGCTGCCTAGGGGGAAAAGAAAAAAAAAAAAAATCCTTTCTCTTACGTATTGCAATATTCATGCCTTTCCTTAGCTGCAAGTTAAGGAGCACTCTCTGTATAGACACCATTCTTTCAATATAGAATAAACTTCTATATTATATCGACTTTGGTTAGCAGACAGAAATAAGCATAGTCTGAATTCTCCAACTGCTTCATGTAACAGCTAATCATACCTAATGGCAGGCTGCCACAAGGATGACCATTCCCATCTACTGACAGTTTTCAATTGCTCTGGCCATACACACTCCAAAGGGGGGGAAAAAAAAGTTTCTACCCACTCAACAGGCTCCACCAACTCCTTGTGGCCCCACACAACTGGTTAGATGCGATGCGGGGAAGAGGAGAAGGAAGTGGACAAACAGGCAGGAGGAACTGGAAGGGTACAGGACTATTTGCTTTCAGGAATTAGTGCAACACAAAACTACATCCTAAGGATGAGATCCTACAGCTTCTGAAGGCAGGCTGCTGCAGTCCCGTTCTTCCCTCCTTTCACCAGCACCATCTCACAGTCAGGCCCCAAACTGTCTGAAAAAACCCGGATGGGGTGGGACAGGACCCAGATAGGGATGAATGGGGAAGAGAGGGTAGAAAAGGGACAGTGGCAGGATTGACAAATCCTGGCACCAGGCCCTGCAGCAAAAGGCAAGCAAACAGCACAACACTACCTGTAGTTTACAAGGATAAACTGTCAAGAAACCACAACTTACAAAAAAAGGCATCTTCTGAAGCTACTGCAAAAATCTAGACGTGTCCCTGGAATGCTGACACTGCTTAATCTACGTTATAGTGCAAGGACTGAACAAATGGAGTCTGATTAATTGTTCTAGAGCTGGGCAAATAACCCAGTACATTTAGTAACTGTCCCTTCTAAATTTTTATCCTTACAGGCTGACAATAGGGCATGTAATTCACTACCAGTCTGTCAAAATCAGGAGTTTTCTCTGGGGCTATAATGACTGTCTAAGGGAGCCTTGGTACTTTTCTTCTGCACAAAGGAAACTACAAATTCTGAAGCATTTTAGTAGTGCTAATAGCTAATATCCAGGGTAACAGAATGCTCACAAGTTAAGATGCATCTAATGTTTGTTGGCAATATTTTTTAGTTTCTTTCTTTTAAAAAAAAAAACCAGTAAGACTCTTTCAAAGCCTGGCTTACTAGAAAAACACTGAGAACCCTCTAACACAAAAACATCAATAATACTCACAGTTTCCAAACATGTATTTAAGAACAGCTCAAGCTGAACAAAACCCACAAGATTCAAATTCTAGAGTAATTCCAAATTATCAGTCTCAAAATCAGTTGGTTTTAAGTCTGGCACCTTAAATGACCTCCAGGCTCAAACAACTTCGTCTCCTCTGCCCTCTTCACATTCCTCCAAAAACTATCCAAGTTTGGCACAGTCTCTAAGATATGTTTATCTAATATATATATAAAAAAATTTTAAAATATGCAATTTCATGAACTGCCAAGTTTCAGTCCTTGAAAATGTTTTTACCACCCAGTTATCCCCTTTGCATCTAGAGTTATCCCATTTATTCTAGTTACAATCCCAGAACAATTCAAAAGCAAGTTACTCTAAAATCATCTCTTAAACCAGTATTTGATTACAATGATTAAATGCACTGCAAGGATATGCAATGTATTTAACCTCAACAGGATACAGACATGAGACACCTGTAGAAAAAGGCAAGTATTGAGCTGTATAAACAGTGCATGCAAAAAAAAAAAAACCCAAACAAACCACACAACAACAAACAAACCACCCCCCCCCAAGATTTTCAATTAAACCTTTGTGCTAAAACAGTTGTGCAATTCCAGTAACAACTCTTGGGAGCTGTCAGGAGTCCATACTTCCACTCATCACAGTGCTGAGAAGTGCTGCTTTTATTACTTGTTGGAAAAACTGCAACTGTTATTTCTGCATCTACTTTCATCACTAACAGCAAAAGTATCTTTAGGGAGAAACTGGATTACCAAGAATTCAAAAGGGTCAAAACCTATCTGAACAAAACAACAACAACAAAAGGCAAAAAGCCCTATTGATCAACTAAGAATTCCATGCTTTACTTTTCAGGACTGCTATTGTTTCTTCGCTCAATTACAGGTTTTCAAAACATGCTCCTTTTAATGACTGATTTTATAACAATTCACATCAAAATATTTGTATTTTTATGCAACTATTAAAAAGCAGTCATGACTAAAAGGGATGTCAAAACACTTTCCAAACATATTCATACACTAGTGTACATTTTCTATACACAGAGCATCTATAGAGAAATTAAATACAACAGCTAGCCAGAATAAAGGCTAGAAGATAACAAGTGCATGAAAACAAAGAAGACTTAAAGTTTCTGATGCAATACTAACAGCTAGTCAGAAATAAAGCATCCCATTCTGGCTTTATGAGCAGTTGCATCATTTCAGTTACAATAATTAAAAAAAAAAAGCAATCATCAGAATTTTAGTTGAAAAATCTAATGACTGATTTCAGTATCATTTAATCATTATTCTGTAATCACTTGGAACATTACCTAAACCTACATCTTTTACATTAATACAGGTAAGCTTGGCAGAGATACTGATTCAATGAGTTTTACTTCCACCTAAAGCCAGGCCATGATAAGTTTCAAGTAGTTTCCAAACAGTTAGAAGACCCTACAAGCATACTTAATAGTGCTGCTGCAAGCAGCACTGTTATGGGAGGGCAGACGTGAATCCACCAGACTTCCAGTTTGACATGAAAAGTAATCTGGCTACCACACCACTCCAAATATCCAAGAGTAGACCTTACCCAAATTCTTAGCTCAAGTATGTGAGGAAAACCAGAAAACTTATGAGAGCTGTAGGAGGTTCTACTTGAAGTATTTTTTAACTTCTGAGACAAAGATACTCAGTGAAGATTTTATATGTAAAACACATCCCATGCTTCAAAACTGAATTTTTATACTTAAAATACAACCACCCTTGTAATAACCAAATAGAAATTCCAGAAATAAACCTCAAAGTTAGAGCCCTCTCCATTAACAAGGAGAAAGTTAGAAATCTATCACCTTTCCGTTCCCTAATGCTTTCTTTGGTCAGTATTCTTGCTCTCCCTCCCAAAATACTCTGTTCACACCTTCAGAATTGCTCAACAGAATAATTCAAGTAACCTAGGGTGAGGCACTGAAGTCTTTTGCACATTAGCAAAAGGAAGTAGAGACCTGCAGCAGAATGAAAAAAGTCATGCATCTCCTTCCTAGGCATACCTGCAGACACTATCAGTACTGCAAGACCAAAGTTAAACAGAAGGGGTTTTACAACCATGCTGATATTCAAGTACATAAAAAAGTTTAAACATAATTGTAAAAAACCCCAAATAAATAGTTCATTGTAGTAATTTTCATTGTACGACCTACTGTGAAACACCTGTACTTATACACATGTGCACACATAAAGCCCCACTAGATTTTCAACTAGTTACAAGTACCGCACAGCAGAAAGCCCAGCAGAGGCACCCCAGCTGAATACAGGGGTTCTGTGGGTTCTCTGCCAGCAGCAAAGGACCTCACCCCTTCCAACCCGGTGTTTCTGCGTGGAACTCAAGTATGTTTTCATACTGAGAAGCTTCTGCTCTGGCAGGCCACGGGCGCACACACCCCAGGCAGCACGACCCGCGCTGACGGCAAGCGCCTCACAGGGGGGCGAGATTCCAACTCCTGATACATGAAACTTCACCGGGCAAAACACATTTTGGCCAGTAACCGTTCCACGTGTGGAGCTGTCAGGTATTTTCTGCTTTGTTCATCCTGCGCCAGGATGCAGATGGGCGCCGCTCACCTCCCCACAAGCTCCCGCTGGTTTTCCCCCCAAGCTCCCGCTGGGGCAGGCCAGCCGCCTCCGGGGCACAACGCCGGCATCAGCCCGCGGAGCGGGACCCCGGGGTGCCCTGCTCGGAGAGCTCAGACGCTGACACGGCCGGGGGTGAGCAGCCTTTTGCAACGCCAATGCCCAGAGTTCAAAAACCAAAACAAAACAC